CCTCTTCTAGATCTCCGTGAAGAAACACCGTCTTCACGTCTAACTGCTCGAGATGAAGATCTTCAATAGATACACTACTCATCACTATCCTGATAGTATTTAGCTTCACCACGGGAGTAAAAATATCGGTGTAGTCATTTCCTTCCTTCTGTTAAAATCCTTTGACAACTAGCCTAGCTTTATATCTTTTGGAGTTGTCCAACTCCTCTTTCACCCAGTACACCCATTTGTTGTGGAGTGCATTCTTACCCGTGGGCAACTCAGCTAGTTTTCATGTATTGTTTGAGATGAAAGACTCCATCTCATCTTTTATGGCAAGCTCCCACTTGCTTGCATCTCTATCCTAACAAGATTCATCATAGCTTTCAGGCTCACGTCCATCTGTCAGCAACAGATAGTTCATGTATCTCTTGTTGGGCACAGGAGGACGAGAAGATCTTAATATCGGAGCTGGTGCGTCGGGCTCCTGCGCACCATCCTGTCAAATAGGCTCTTCTGTCCGAGGACCTTCTGCATTGGGTTCTTCCGAAGGGTTACTTGGGACATTATCTGCATCTATAAATGTTAACTTGCTCTCTAAGTCATCTGTCTTGTGCATGTCCTTATACATCACCTTCTCGTTGAATATCACATCTCTGCTGCGGATCACTTTCTTGTTTTTGTTATCCCAAATACGGTAGCTGAACTCATCTTCACCATACCCGATGGATGTGCATTTCTTGGACTTGGGATCAAGTTTATTCCTGCCTTGATCACTACTATGCACATAAGTTATACAACCGAAAAGTTTGAGATGTGAGAGGCTTACCTCTTTTCCGCACCATACCTCCTCTGGTATTCTTTGCTCTAATAGAACCGATGAACCTCGGTTGATCAAGTAAGCTGCTATGTTGATCGCTTCTGCCCAGAACTACTTCGGTAGGCCTAACTGTACCCGAATGCTTCTGGATCTCTCTGTCAATGTTTGGTTCAACCGTTTAGCTACACTATTTTGCTGAGGCGTGTCGGGCATGGTTCTCTCCATTCTGATCCCGTGCTCATAGCAGAACTTCTTGAATTCGGTATCTTCATACTCACCACCATTGTCGGTTCTGAGTTTCTTTATTCTCAGACCGATCTCATTCTCGATCATAGCTTTTCATCTCTTGGAAGCTTCAAACACTTCTGACTTATGCTTCAGAAAGTAGACCCACACTTTCCGAGAGTGATCATCAATAAAAGTCACTAAGTAGTATTTCCCATCAATGAATGTGGTGATGGTTGGTCCCCAAAATATCTGAGTGAACGAGCTCTAGCTTCTCTTTCCTAGGGGTTCTGCTACTTGTCTAAAAGCTTACTCTCTTCTGCTTTCCAAGTATGCATTCTTCACACATATCTAAATCAACTGATTCTAGACCTGAGAGTTTTTCCTTTGTGTGCATGATCTTCATCCCCTTCTCACTCATATGACCGAGTCTCTGGTGCCACAACTTTAAAGTCTTATTGCCTACTGCAACTGAGATCAAACAACGTGCACCTGCTGTCATATACAGGGTATCATTCTTCTTGTCTCGGACAATCGTTATTGTGCCCTTTGAGATCTTCCAATCCTCTCCATAGAAGGTTATAGTGTATCCTTCGCCAGCCAACTATCCTACGAATATTAAGTTCTTTCTCAGGTCGGGAATATGTCTGACATCCTTCAGCTCAAATACTAACCCGTTCAACTTAATTTTTACCATACCTTTGCCCACAATAGCACACAGTTGATCATCACCAAGGTATACGTATCCAAGATTTTTGGGAACATACTTCTCGAAGAATTCTTTCTGAGAAGTGGCATGAAACGACGTTCCAGAACCTAATACCCATGATTCTTCCTTGCTCTCCAAAGAGCATATCAACGCGTCATCTCCTCCTGAGGTGGAAGTGACATTCACCTCTGCCTTCGCCTCCTTCTCCTTATGTGCACTCTTGCACTGATTCTTATAGTGCCCGGTCTTTCCATAATTCCAACACTCGATAACCTTCGAGCTGTTGCTTGGATTCCTCGACTTGGACCTCATGTCCTTTGATCTACCTCTGTAGTTTGATTTGTCTCGTCTGTTCCCTCTGGTTGAATTTCTACCTCTTG